GAGAAGCAGGGGTCAGTGCCAGAAAGGTGTGGCCAGACGGGAGCTGGGCCACCTGGGGAGTCCTGAGCCATCAGATGCTTCAAACCAGGCGCTTTACCTCCCATTCGGTCCTTTCTTATCCTGCAACATTGTCCTCCCCCATTTCACAGTTAAGGAGACTAGGCTTTCAGAAGGGTTACGTGACTTGTCCAAAGTCACACAGCTAGTGAGGGGCAGAAGCAGAATTTGAACCTGGGCCTCCCTGGCTCCCAAGTCCTCTGAACCCTTACAGTTGCCCAAACACCAGCATCAACACTGCCCTGGAGTATGTTAGAAATGCAGACGTGCAGGTTCCACCCCAGATGTACCAGACTGTAATCTGTGTTTTTTTTGAGACAGGGTCTTGCTTTGTCACCCAGATGGAATGCAGTGATATGATCATAGCTCACTGCAGCCTCAACTTTATGGGCTTAAGTGATCCTCCCACCGTAGCTGGGACTCTAGGCACACGCCACCACATCTGGCTAATTTTTTTTATTTTTGCAGAGATGGGGGTCTCATTATGTTGCTCAGACTGGTCTCAAACTCCTGGCTCCAAGCCACCCTCCCACCTCATCCTCCCAAAGTGCAGGGATTACAGGCATGAGCCACCATGCCCGGCCCATAATCTGCACTGTAACCAGCTTCACCAGGTGTGCCCACTGACGTTTAAGAAGCGCTAAGCCGCGGCTCAGGCCCCCGCACAGCCGTCTCCCCACCGCTTCCTGAGGTTGAGTTAAGGTTATCCTTAGGCAGGTGACTTTGTCTGTCTGAGCTGTAAGAGGATAAGATGAATGGAGTAAAGATTAAGTTACATTATAAACACTGGGTTATATTAATATTAGGCATTCAATAAATATTCTTTATAATCACTATCATAACAATAATGATTACGAAGAGCAAGAAGTGAAAGGGGGCGGTTGGCAGGGAGTGCCACAGGTGCAGTGAGATGTTGTTGAACTCCAGGTTAGGATGCCCTTGAGCCCTGACAGCGCCCCCAGCAAATTTCGTGGTGTCTCCCTCTTTAGCCTCCATGGGGGAGCCCCGAGTGCCACACTTGTGTGCTCTCTATCTATCTATCTCTCCGTCTCTCTCTCTCTCTCTTTCTCCCTACCCCATACCCCGCTTAGCTGACCCAGGGCAACAGATCAAGTGTGAGATTCCCAGATAAGACTAGAGGAAGTGGTGAGCGCTGGGCTTTCCCCGTGTGAGTCAGGCGGTCTGGGGGTGGGGACGTGCAGGAACTGGGGAAGCCAGGGGGGCCTGAGGGCTCCTGAGCCCATACCCAACACCCATCCCGTCCAGTTGTCTGTCTTCCTGGGACCCGCATGCCCAGAGGGGCCATCAGCAAAGCCTGGGATGGGAGTCAGGAGAGACAGAGTTGGGCTCCCCTGTGCTCCCACCTTCCCAAGTGCAGTGGCTGCGATGACTCTGCTTCCTTCTGCTATCAGAATGTGCAGCACAGCTCGGGGGGGACCTACATGAGGAGCAACTTTCTTTCTTTCTTTTTTTTTTTTTGAGACAGAGTCTTGCTCTGTCACCCAAGCTAGAGTACAGTGGCATAATCTTGGCTCCCTCCAGCCTCCACTTCCCGGGTTCAAGCGATTCTCCTGCCTCAGCCTCCCTAGTAGTTGGGATTACAGGCCTGCACTACCACACCCAGCTAATTCTTGTATTCTTAGTAGAGACAGGGTTTCACCATGTTGGTCAGGCTGATCTCGAACTCCTGGCCTCAAGTGATCCGCCCACCTCAGCCCCCAAAGTGCTGAGATTACAGGCATGAGCCACTGCACCTGGTCGAGGAGCAACTTTCTAATAGTTCCGTAGCCAAGATGGGCCCCCTTAGACAAGCAATGAGCTTCCTGCCCTCAGAGGTATTCAAGGCACTACACAAAGAACTACATCAGGAATCTGATTTTCAGGAAGGACTGAAGAAGATGGCCTCCAATATCCCTTCCAACCCTGAAGTTCACTGCTGTGTACCCATCGGCATCAGGGCATAGCATAGTCGTTAAGAGTGCACGTGTTTGATCAGGCCTGGTTCAGAGCCCATCAACACCCTTGTCACCTATGACCTGGGCCAAGTGGCTTCCCCTCTGAGCCTCATCTCCTTGTGGGTTAAATAGGAATGTTCATGCCGCTTCATGGACTTCTTGTGAGAATCTGATGCGAAACACCTGGCATCGCGCCTGGCACATAGCAAGCGCCCAGCAGAGCAGCCAGGAATGATGATCAGTTATGACGTGTGGTTATGACGTGTGGCTCGCCTGTGCGCAAGGCTGGGGACGTCTGCACTATGCATGGTTGACGCCTCCACTGCCTACCCCTGTGACCCCCTAGTTATCAGAACTGGGAGAGAGGCAGGGGCAGGGAAGCAACCAGCTGGGGACCATGCTCACCCCAAAGGGGAAGGGTTGTCCGGGGAGGGGGGGTAACCCGTTGCTCCGCTTTCAAGAGGGGGATGGGTGGGGATTTCGTTCCCAGCATCCAGGGCGCAGCTAGCTGCTGAGCCCTTCCTGGCAAGAACAATTCAGGGGGAGGCAGATAGGAATGCAGGCACAGTGCCAGGCCCCACAGCCTCCCTCCGGTGCTGGAGAAAAGTGCTGAGTTCCCAGGCTGGGTGCTTTCTGCCAGTCCTGCCGAATGGCATTGGCCTTCCCAAACAGGCACCTCGCTGGGCTCTCAGTCCAGCCTCTGCTGGCCCTTCAAGCTTGAGAATGTGGGACCCTCCATGGGACCAGGAAAAAGAGAGGGGGCCAGGGAGGAGAAGAGCTTCCAGCTGTTGGAATCCTGCAGTCTGCTGGCTGTGTGACCCTGGGCC